GGGGGGGGGGGGGGGGGGGGGGGGGGGGGGGGGGGGGGGGGGGGGGTTGGGGTACACTATATGGATGCACTAGTTCATAATGCATGAGGTATGACAGCTTGCACATTGAAATGCGCGTCTATGGCTTGAGGAATGGCTTTCGAGGGAGTTGAGGTAAACACACATACATGCTCTCAGCATGCCTTTTTCCTTTTTCTTTTTTTTTTTGTTAGTTTTTTTTTGCAACACAAACACACAAACAAGGAGGACACGCAAATGCAACGTCGAGCAGATGGGACGTACCTCGGGCGGTCACCGGAAAACACACACTCACCATCTCACACACTCTCACCGACGATGATGCTGGCAGCTCCGTGGCCGAGCCCTCATCATCATCATCCTCATCATCACCCTCATCCTCATCATCACAGGGTGAGACCTGAAGCCAAAGGGGGGCGTTTGCTGGGCAATGAGGGGCGCAAATCGCCTGGATGGCAACATTTAAAGTGCCTGTGTCTGCGTGTGTGTATGTGTGTGTAGGGCCTGTATGTGTGTGTGTGTAGGGCCTGTGTGTGTAGTATCCTGTGCAGTGAAAGAGGTCCGGCCCCAAAAGCCGAGACCACCGGCATTTGCAGTTTAGTTGCATATCGTTGCTTAATTATTCCCACTTGATGTCCGAAACAGGCCGTTTTTTTCGTGTTTGTGACATGAAACAACCCACAGAATCGTCCCACCCAATCCCCTCTCAAGCAGGGTTGTTGTTTTAGGATTAGAACTTTGAGGTAAAACCTCAGGAAAAGTTTAAAAAACCCTGACAGAACGGGAATTTACAGAACATTAACACGTTAACATCCTGTTCATCAGCTTTCTCTATGCGTGAGATGAGAATGGATTTAAGCCATGAACTCCACAGGTGTCCCCATAAGGCTGAAAAACAAAACCCCCAAAAAACCTTCGACTCTATCCGCACCGAACCTAAAACCTGACCCTGTTCGTGAAAATGACATCCTGAGCACTTGGAGCACAGAAAGTCTTCCATCCCTGTTAAATGTCGGGTAAGGTGTTGTTTTTAAAAAAAAACATTTTACAGCCCAAGCAGACCACCTAATGCACTTAGCAGAGTTGGTGGATGAAGATATGTTGCATCTACAATTTTTAGTTTACAGTCAGGAGACACATATATCAAACATTTACATTTAGAGGCATTAGAAAGATGTAAAAAAAAAAAAAAAAAAAAAACATCCTGTGGCGACCACGTGAGGGTGGAGGGCATCCGCCGCCATGCGTCCCGAATGGCAGCCCCTCCCTGTCCATACGCAAGTTTTATTTAGGTTTCGACGAAATCCACGCAACGCAGACGGACAAAACCTGCCCAGTTTCTGCAACCTGTCGGCCCTAAACCAATCGAATCCAGCCGAGTGCTGAAATAGAGCTTAAACTCAGGTCAGCACACAAACACAGACGGAGGTCGGACCAAATGCAAGTC